GGTCAGACATTTGTTAAAGCTAAAAAAACCCTACTTTTATAGAAAGTTTTGCTATTTGTTATGGTTAAGCGCAGAAAACAACTAGAAGGCGCCCGTTATTTATAGACAAGGCAACACACATAACGTAGTATTTAACCGCGCTATATATATTCACATAAAATATAGTATTTAATCGTGCTATGCTTGGCGTATTAAAGATTCTTTCTGATACAAAATAACTTTTTCACAGTCGGACAACTTTTTAGACCAACAAGACAACACACAAAATGTAGTATTTAACCGCGCTATATATATTCACACAAAATACAGTATTTAACTGTGTTATGCTTGGTGTGTTAAAGATTCTTTCTGATATAGAACAACTTTTTTGCAGTCAGGCAACTTTTCCGATCAACAAGACAACACACAAAATATAGTATTTAACCACGCTATATATATTCAGTTATTTATCAAACATCTTCCTCATATGACAATGTAGTTTTCTAATAATTTTAGAGTGAAACTCGAAAGTGAACGTAAAAATTTTCTTTTTTTTAATCATATATTAATGGAGAGAAATACGTAGTGTGTGTTGAGTAAAAATTAATATTAGAAATACGTAGTGTGTTTTTCTAATAGATAACGTAAAAAATTTCTAATATTAATTTTCTTTTTTCAGTTGAGTAAAAATTTTTGAAGAGAAATCAACTCAACATCCAAGTTGAAGTGATTCCCATTGAATATGTCCATTTCACAAACAGATGTGCTAATATATTTACCCACTTTCCATAACCTTGTTTTCTTCTTGGTCACACGTAGCATCCAATGACAAACTATAAACCATCTACGACAAACAACCTTGTATACCTCTGGACTTGACTCCCATACTATCATCTCACGATACTCTCTTACGCTGTTCATTTTACAAGCCCTGGTTAGGCGGGCTTTATCGGGAAAAAACATGCCCTTTGCCAACACTGTTGGTCTAGACTCATCCCACATTGCTAACTGAATCTCATCAAGATCCCTTGTGAAGGCATCCATATCCGGCATATTTGGAAAATTATAAAGGTAGGGAATATGCCTTGAATGAAACGGCATGTGGGACTCGTACACTCTTGGTCTAACGGGAGGTGGAGCATGCTCCCTCGTCAGCTCAGGTTCGACATTCACTTCCTCCTCCTCATCACCCTCGTCAGGGAAGGGTGTGTCATCTCCAGACTCATCTGCATTGTTGTCATAATCACTATTATCTTCCTGACTCTACGTATTTGCCAAATCTCGAGTAAATACGTCGTCTACAGGCAACTGAGTAAGGTCAGGACCATCAAGTTGCTCGTTTTTACTACACAAACAACAAAATAATAAGCTACTCAAATTGATAAATACTATACATATAGCTATATTACTTCACTTACAAGTCGTAATGTATTGACATTCCATGATGGACATTATCATGTTGGTGATGACTTCCGGATGGACCACCATGATCCAACACACCAAAAACGCATATTCCAACTGGGCGTGGGGTCATAACTTGTAAAATTCATATCTGAGGTACCCCATGTGGAATATATGAGTGTTAATACAGATTCAATACAACAAAAATAAATACTGGAACACAAAGGAAAATTGAAGTTTACTAGTCGTCTTGTGGATTATGTAAAGTATGAGAGAAATTATTTCCTCGCTCCTCGTTCGCCCGTGGAGATAAGTTTAGATTCGGTCAAACTCTTTCAACCGGAACCTGTTGGGCTAAAACTGCTCCAGAATAATCACCCTATGATTGAGTGTTATCACTGTTTTGCGCAACATCATTATTGCGAACGACTTCATGCTTCACGTATATTTCCAACATTTTTATCAAAATAAGTTCCCGGTATTCATCCGGAGTCCCCAAAAAATCTCTCAGAGTTTCATCATCCTCGATGTTAAACTCAGTGTAACAAGCAACCCCTTGCGGAGTCACAAAATACAGATATCTTCCGGTTATTTTAAGATTCACCGAACATTTGCTCAACCTCATTTTATTGCATAACAACGATACCAGTCTATCGTACTCCATTGTAAGTGGCAACTTAACATGATTCTATGGAGATAATCTATAGCTCACTAAGTTATTCGTCACCACAACCTCACCCTCCTCCCCAAATATAATGAAACCCTTACTTTTCGCTCTTCAGACATTATGAAAAAAGCTTGAGAATTTAACAATAAGAAAAATTTATCACGAAGTTGGAGTATTTCTGAATGAGTATCCTCAAAACCCTTAACGCATTTAAATAAGGCAATGCCCAATCTGGGGGTCAAATTTTTGGAAGTAAAACGCAATTTAAATAGGCATTTTACATATTTGAATTATTGTAATGTCAGTTAAGCGCAGAAGAGTTATTGGTGAACCTACAAAATAGGTAAAATACGGTAACGAGCCGCACTTTATATACTTGTCTTATCAGTTGTCAGGTAAATCGCGGTTTGTTATCGCGTTTTGTATAAAACGCTGAACCGTATTTTATATAGAATGGTAACTTTTTTTCCACCTAAAATAGTATTTTGAGTCCAAAAGAACCAAAATGCGAATATGAGATGGATTGTGTTTCGATTTGGTCCGAGGATGAAAAAAAGGACTTGGAAAAGGGAATGTATTTCAGCAGTAAAGAAAAGCTAAAGCTGGGGGTGAAGATTTGAAGTTTGCACAAGAATAGAGAGTACAAGGTATTAACGTCATCCAAGCAATTATATTATGGGCTGTAAGATGTAGGTTGTATAATTCATCGGGTTGTCTATGGTTTCTTCGAGGTCGGAAAGTTGGAGAAAACCTTTGAAAGATAGGAAAGTATTGCGGTGAACATAGATGCGAGATTGAAGGGCTTTCTAATGGCCATGCTAATCTAGATGTGAATTTGATTGTAAACCAAATGGGAATAGATCCAACATACTTGGTAGTAGATGTTCTTTCTAAAGTTGACGAAAAGTTTGGTCATATTGTGACATACAGGAAAGCATGGCTTGGGCGTAAACGCGCATTTGAATTGGTATATGGTGACTTCGAGAAATCTTTTAGTGATCTTCTTCGCTTTTTTTGCAGCTTTTCAACCCTTCAATTCCGGTACAGTTGTTAAATAAAAACATGAGGAGTCAATGAGTTCAACAGAGGTAATGACTTTCAAGTTTGTATTTTGGGAATTCGATTGATGGATTCAAGACGAGTCGCCCGATTATTTCAGTAGATGGAACACATACATATGACAAATATGATATTAAATTACTAATTGCTGTTGGAAATGATAACATTCCGCCTCTTGCATTTGCTATTGTTCATAGGGAGTCGAAGAGGCATGGAAGTGATTTTTTAAAAATCTGAGCACTCATAAAGGACAGAAAAGATATATGCGTGATATCTGATCGGGCAAAAGAAATCTTGACTAGTTTGCCGGAATTGCGTCGATGGCGGGATTCTAGTCACTTATCCGATATATCCAACGATCGAGGAGGGAAAAGGACTTCCAAAAAGATTACCACAGACATTGGATTGTTTAGTGCCACATTGTTGCTGAGACACAAGTGCTACATTTAACTTTACCCAAAAAATTCAAGACTCGATTGATAACTAGGGACTGTCTCGATGAGGATGAAGATGAGGAAGAAGGAAAAGAAGAAGGCGACGAAGGAGAAGAAGAAGGGAAGATGAAGACATAGAGGGTGTTTGGCTTAGCTTATAAGCACTTTTTTGGCTTATCTATGCGTTTGGTAAAATTAAAAGTGCTTATAAGTTAAGTGCTTATAAGCCAAAAATAAGCCAAAAGTCATAAGTTGGTCTCCCACAACTTATCAAATTTCAGCTTATAAGCACTTTAGGTTTGACCAAAACATTTACTATTTTATCCATAAAATACTTCTTTCTAAAACAAAACTCTTCGTATACCTAGTTCTTCAGCTGCTTATTATTAATTTCATCACTTTTATCCAAACACGTAACTGCTTATTTTTTAAATCAACTTTAGCACTTAAAAGTGATTTTCAGCATCTTATGCTTATAAGCTACTCTAAATCAGCTAAGCCAAACGGGCTCATAGTACTGCCGACAGTGAGGAAGTAATAGTCTGTTTGGCCAAGCTTCTTTTTGGCCAAAAGTGTTTTTTTTTTTTTTGCCAAAAGCACTTTTGGCGAAAAATTGAGATGTTTGACCAAGCTTTTGGAAGGAAAAAAAGTGCTTTCGAGGAGAAACAGAAGCAGTTTTGGAGAAGCAGAAAAAAGTAACTTATCTCCAAAAGCACTTTTTTGATAAGCACTTTTGAGAAAAATACACTTAGAAGCAGTTTTTTAAAGCTTGGTCAAACACTAATTGCTGTTCAGAAGTGTTTTTCAAACTAATTAGCCAAATATAAACTGTTTCTCACCAAAAGTACTTTTGAAAAAAACACTTTTCAAAATAAGCTGATTTTTACAGCTTGGGCAAGCGGGGTATAAGTCTTTACAAAGCTTATCCCTTTAAGTTTACCCAATGAACAATGTCGCGTAGATGACAAATTTCCTAAATTTTTACTAGTTTAGTGGAGTAGTATTTTAACCAAGAAAAAAAAGTTTGTTCAATGCTTATCTTTATTAATTAGTAAATCACTTCATCCGTGCAAATTATCTCCATAAGTCAAGATAATCTCCTATGAACTAGTCCAATAATTTTTTTTTTAAAGTAATGACAATCCAACGACAACGATTTATACCTCCGTTGCATTGAAAACGTTAGTGGAGGTTACGTTATAATATAACTTTTAAAAATTTAAGCAGCAAGATAAAAATGTCACTGACAGGCACGATTAATTTGTGTATGTATCCAGCAAAAACGATTTATACCTCCGTTTAATCCGTCAGCTGTTACTTTTTTCTATTAAAATTTTTGAATAAAATATTTTCTATTTTGTTACCGAGAAATACGTTTATATTATTTTGGTTAAATTTAAAAAAAAAAACATACTAGTTTGGTTAAGTGACTTAAATAGTGGGTTATTTAGGTTAAAAATTCCTAATTTCTGAACTTTGATGTAGCACAGGGCCTTTCACCGGGTTCATTACCGAAGAAATGACCAAGCTGACAAAGCCGCAAAAAAGCCGAAAGAGGAAAAATTCCGAAGACCAATGTTCACCTTCTCCATGTTCGTCTTCAAAATCATCGAAAACGGCTAAACTTACCACCGCTTCCTCCAATGACAGTGAGCCATTCCCCGATTTCCATCGGCCCACGCCAGAGGAATGCCGAACTGTGAGGGATGATCTCTTGGCCGTCCATGGTTTCCCCAAAGAATTCATCAAGTACCGCAAGCAAAGATCACTCAATCATGATAATAACATTGGAGATGAAGATGATCATAGTGGTATTGATCCCTGTAAAGAGAGTGTACTGGACGGTCTAATAAGCACCATTTTGTCGCAGAACACCACTGAAGCTAACTCTCAGAGGGCTTTTGCTTCCCTCAAATCCTCTTTTCCAACATGGGAATCTGTAAGCTTTTATTTCAAATTAAGTTACTCCATTAATTCAATTTCTTCATACATGCTTGCAGAGGCGGATCCAGAATTTAGAGGTTGTCGGTGCCACTCTTTGTGTACACCATATATTTACCTCTAGCCAGAGGCGGATCCAGAATTTAGAGGTTGCGGATACACATATTTACCTCTAGCCACAAAGACTAAATAGAAAGGGCGGGTCGATTCGATATGGTTTTTGTTACTCTGATTAGGTTTTAAGCCTTTTATTCACATACATAAACAAATAAGTTCGATTTTGTCTAGTTACTTTATTTTCAAGCTTAAATTTGAATTATATTGTGAAAGGAAATTGCACAGAAAAAAATTTAATGAAAGAGCACCTCCAATTATAAAATTTGCTTAAAAATAGCTTAACGACTACAAATTGTTTGTTTAACTAGATTAATTTACCTTCCGTATTCTCGAGTTTATTTTTTAATCTTAATTCCCAAGTTTATATAGCAATTCTTTGCAAAGCAAAAGCTTCAAATTTTCAATATACGAGAATCAACTCAAAAATGAATATATATAGAATAATGTCGCGTCATCCAAAAAAGAAGATACTATCTATTAACTAAAATCAATTCAAATGACTTATGGAAAGAAATAGTCTGAAGTAAACATATTAGTAGAGAAGAAAAGGAAGGTTATGCAAAGATTTTTTTTTTAAAAGAAAGGAAGAAGCAGAAAAGAAGAAGAAGAAGAAGAAGAAAATTAGAGAGGGAGATATAGTAAATAAAAGGAAGAAAAGAGAGGTGAGGCTTAGAGAAGGAAACAAAGAATAAAAAAGAATAGAAACAAGGAAATTGAAACGCAGCAGGCATCAGCAGCGAGTTAATACGTCCATAGAGATTCGACCTCGGGTTCCGTAGGAACAAAAAGACTTCAAAGTCTTCGCTGAACAAGTGGCACCTGACTCTCCTTTTTGCATTGGGGGTGGCACTTAAGTTATATATCCGTTTTGTACTAGATATATAGATACATTTTCAAATTTTAGCCGAAGCGTGCGGGTGCCATACCACCCCTACCTCTCCAGGTAGATCCGCCCCTGCATGCTTGCTTTATTATGGATAAGGATTTGATTAACCAAAGACAGTATTTTTACTTTAAGTTTATAATGGTAACTCTTCCTCTGACTAAACCCCTTCTGAGGTGCTTTTCGTCTATTTTAGGATTTTGCGTTTTTTACATTTTATGTTGGCTCATAGGATTTTACCTGATTCGTGTTACATTGCAAGTGTAGGTACTGGCTGATCCATTTTGTTTTTTATATGGTGCTTTACTTGTTAGTGATGAACAAGAATGATTAATGCTGGTTAGTAAGCTTAGTACTAGCTTTTTGTACTATCGCTCTCTATAAGTTTAGTTTTGGGCAGGGTTTTGGTCTCAATTTTCATTTAAAACCAAGAATGTTCATGTATTTTCTTGACTACTCTATAATTGATTTATTGTGCACCAATGAAATGGATAAACTTTGCCACTTCGGACCAGCTTATTTGTGCAATTTTATCTTCAAATGCCTAGGTTCTCGCTGCTGATGCAAAGCTTGTTGAAGATGCCATAAGATGTGGAGGTTTAGCACCCACCAAAACTTCTTGTATCAAGGGAATATTGAGTTCATTGTTTCAGAAAAAAGGAAATCTGTGCTTGGAGTACTTGAGAGAACTATCTATAGAGGAAATCAAAAGGGAACTCTCTTGTTTCAGAGGGATTGGCCCCAAAACGGTAACTTGTGCTCAGTTTTCCTTGAAATTTTGCTTATGGAATAAATGGACCGTGCTTAAGTCCAATATGAGTTGAGTTTGGATTTGGATATTGATATGCGTATGCCTATTTGTCAGTATCAGTAACTGTTATTTTCGGTATTACTCGTCTCTTAGAGATGCACAAGTTCCTATTGGCATATTAATTGAACAACCATGCCTGGATTCAGATAAAAAAAAATAACATTTTCACATTTCTTCTCTTCATGTTGATAACTTGACAGCGGCACCTCTGTAAATAGAAAATGAGGACCTTGTTCCTCTTTGTTATTTGTCCTCCTCAGAACTATGAAAACTTACTAGGAGATTCTTTATTATTACAAGAAAAATATTAATTTTTTGGAGAAGTTCATTTTTAAGCTATAAAAATGCCTTTATAGTGTATTCCTACACTATTTGAGATACCCACCTTCTGCTCTGTTCTATTCGTGGTACCTCAGAAACTGCAATTGCTTCCAAGCTTTTCTGATGTCAATGCTTTGTCCACCCTCTACTGCATGCAATGTTATCAAAGGCGAAAAGCTCAAAGAAGCTCTATGGCCTTTTGGGGCTTTAAGCGCAAAGCGCAAATAAAGTGTGGACTTTAATGAAAAAAACGCACGAATGGAGAAAAACTACAAATATGTATGTGTAGTCCAAGACTAATATCTATAAGCATGAATACCAAATATACGAACACAGAAATTGAAGAAATTTTACAATAAAGTTGAATATCAATTGTTTAGTGTCGCCTCTTGATGACAACATTGAAGCGCACGCTAAGTGAGGCGAAACGCTTAACATGTTTTGACCCTCGCTTCAGGGCTTAAGCGCGCCTTTGATAACATTGATTGCATATTTGGGTTGATTACCATGCTTTAAAGTAATAACCTTTTTTTTATAGGGTGAGGGGTGGGTGTGGGGCTAATTTTTTGGTGCCTTCAAGCAAAGAGAATTTTTCTCCTTGTCTCTTTTCAGAAGAGTAAATAAGTGGTAGAGAATTCTCGATCACACTTCTTTTTCTTGCTATAATTGTTTACAACCCAAGTTTTGTAGAATAAAATATATATTTGTTTACAATCCAAGTCCCACCTTACCATGAGGGACGAGAGTGACGTGGGCAGAGTGGGGTGGGAGTCCTATAAACTATAATGACTTTGGTGAACCTCCACTTTCCTTCCATCCCTTAAACCTTTCGAGCCAATATTAAGCATCAAATGGTTAACTTTACAGGAGTTCTTTCAGTTTGACATGAGAAATAGGCTCTAAACAACTATCTCCCTCTGCTCTTGGAAGTTGAAGTCAGAACCGCTTAGCAAGCCTTTTCATTGTTCGTAATGTCTGATGTATTACTTATAAAAGGAAAATGAATAATTAATATCTAGTGGAGTCTCCACTAGTCTTAGAACCTCCTAGTGCTTAGAATAATTGTAGTGCCTGTATGAGAAGTACCAAACCAGACATGACTTGACTTTTGTGTCTGAAGCGAAAACTTGAAATTTCAAAATTTTGGGGACTTGCAAGAATTGCTCACGTTATGGATCCCAATTAACTTGTTATGCTTAGATGAGAAATGAAAAAGGAATAAGAAAAGATAACATTGTAAGAAAGAGATTATGATTCTTACTCTGCGAAAGGAAAATGCAAAATTACATTGCAAGAGTTCACTAGATCTTAAGAAAGAATCTATATAGTGCTGCCATATTATAATAGTTCTAAAAGTCCAACTCTCCCAATTAAATTGTTTTTATGCTTAGATGCGAAATGAAAAAGGAAAAAGAAAAGATAAGAAGACTTGACCAAATGACCGGGAATTAGAAGGAGAGCCAAGGAACACCAGTAAAGAAGAAAAGCAAGAGGGAGATCGAAGAGAAGAAGAGAACCTGAAGCAGCTGAGAGCAATAGCAAAACTTAGAGTTGATTTGGTTTCCAAGTCTCGTCACACGCACCCAGTGCATGGAAGATATGTTTGTCTGAAATGGAGGACATAGGTGTTGTTACCTTCTAAAAAATAGCGGGTATGGTTGTGCAAAAAACAATAATGACGACAGATTAGAAAATGCTTCAGACACGTGGCAAAGATTTATTCAAAGCGTCTGTGTCCTTAAAATGTCTGACTCCCATATTTGACTTTAAAAATGTTGGTTGTGCATACCAGTGATGGGGAAAAATTTAAGGTGTATGCTAATGGTGGTGTTTGCAAACTGAAAGATCTTATCACCAGCAACCTTTGTAATTGGCTTTTTATCAGCTGCTATGATTCTAACAGTATGCAATTGATGCAGGTTGCATGTGTCTTGATGTTCCATCTTCAGCGAGATGATTTTCCAGTGGACACACATGTGAGTTTCACCTTAAAAGACTTATTGCCTGTTCAAAGTACTCGCCTAACATTCAAAACTTACTACAGATTTTTCAGATTGCAAAGACTCTTCGTTGGGTACCCACTGCAGCTGATGTAAAAAAGACATATCTTCATCTGAATCGGCGAATTCCTGATGAACTAAAGTTTGACATTAATTGTCTCATTTATACCCATGGTAAGGTCTGTAGAGAATGCTCTGGAAAAGGTTCTGACAAACCCAAAAAGGAACACAGTGACAAACTTTGCCCATTACTGTGCCAAAGTTCTAATGCAATATGAAACCAAATTATGAACTCTATGCATCTATTCTGTGTACATGAGGTTTTTGCTTTCTTTTTTGTTCTCTTTCATGATCCCTGAACTCTATGCATCTATTCGTGTACATGATGTTTTTGCATTCTTTTTTAGTCTCTTCCATGATCACTTCACTTTTGGTGCTGCATTTGGGTCCTGTATTTAAAGATTAAATAGGAAAATTAATTACTTCTTGTCTTTGGACCACTTCTTAGAGAAAACAGGTCAAGTCTATCTATTTTCAGTAGTGATTTGTAATGCGTCTACACCTAGTATATGCGTAAATGCCTAATTATATCCTCTGGTCATTCTGCCTTTGTTGTGTTTTTCACCCCCTTATTATGGAATAGAACTTTTTTGTAAATTGAGTGAGAAGAATGGGATGGGGCTTGAGATGATTGGTGATAAGGACCAAATAAAATGTGGTATTACAACACATTCCATTAGGTTTCTGAAATGGCAAAAAAGCTCCAAAGATGTGGTCCATTTAGCCAACTTGGGTATATGGAAACAAAAAACTTTTGCTTGCTAATGCTAATATATGCCAATCACTTGCTTTAGCTGTAAATCTGTTTTTCTAGGTGCTGGATACAAATTTATTATGCTCAAACCAGATATGCTCAGATCTAATTGGTGACATTGATTAAAAGATTTGCTTCTCTCATTATCCACTTCAGAATTTATCTTATTTTTCTTGTAATCAAAAAGTGATCTCATATGCTTTTGACAAGAAATAATAACCGGATTCCGTAGAAATTTAAATGTAATTCTCAATCTTAAATTAGGATGGGAGTTTAGATGAAAACCATTATGCAGCTTACAAGCTGTGGTGCTGGTTTCTTTTTTGAGGATGTGGTCACATCTTGTACGAGTCTATAAAAACATCGATTATCAAGTTTGCTACCTTCTGGTGCAAGTTTTGTGCTACTAAGTTACCTTAAGAGGTGATATTTCTGAGTGAAGCCCGAGAAAACTAATGACATGTCTAGGAAAAAAAACAGAAAGAATAACTAATGGCATGTACTGGAAAATAAAGATAAAGTGGAAAAAGTCCTAATTCAGTAATGCACTAGGGCTCCTTGTTCTAACTTTATGTGAATCTTTTCATTATATAATGATTTAGTTGGATATGCATGACTGTGACATGTTCTTTTGGTGGTTCTACTGCTCTCCTATAAATGTACCATTACAAAACATTTGGCATGCCGGGAACTTTTCAGTCCAATGGATGAGGCAGTGTACCAAAAATCCACCAACTTTAATCTCCTTTCAACCAGAAAGAATGGAACAGATATTCTCTGTTGCAAAACTACTGCTTCAGATAAAAAGCTTAGGATTTTCGGCTTTGAGGTAAATCCTTGTCTGAAGGATAGCATTTGTTCAAGATCTGAAAGACACGAGAGTGTAAGCTCCTCAGAAACATTTATGGATGAAACACCAGAGGAAAAACCTTCCATCTGTCTGAATTCCTCTGGTATAGTTCTCCCCAACCCAAATGAGAACCTCAGAAAATTGAATGTCTCAGCTGTGATGGAGCTTAAATATGAGTGCCACTTCTGTTTGAAAAGGTTTTTAAACTCACGGGCACTGGGAGGTCATCAAAATGCCCATCGAAAAGAGAGGTTGAAGAAGAAAAGAATGGATCTTGAAGCAAAAATGGCTAGTAGCTCTATGTTCTACCTTAATCCTATTATCATAAACAATGGAATTATGTACCCTTACTCTTCCTATGTTCCCACCATTGTCTGCGGAAGTTCACATATCAGATTCAGCTCTGTGTATAACTGTCAGAACGACACTAATCCCCCATATTTTACTGTTGATGGTTCTCCTGGTGAACTATATTTGCAGAATAACGTTTTACCGTGATTCAGGGTGGTGAGTTTAGAGGGAGAGATCCCTTGTAATCGTGCCCTCTACTTCCTGAGCATTAAGTAGTTTGCTGGAAAGTTGCTGTCATCTAAAAGTGGTGTGCTAGTAGCCTTTGAATATGCTCATGTTTTATCAGACAAGGATATAGCAGCTGGTTGTACTAACACTACATTTTTCTTATTTTGAATATATCCTGTTTTGGATTTAATATATTCTTATTACTACTTTATGTTTACGGTTCGGGACCACCACTAAAATAAAAGTTCAAGAAAACCCTTAGACAAAATCCATCTTACTTGTCGAACTTTCCTTTTACGAATTTTTAAATTAAAAGAATGCGAGGTTGGCTTTAATCGAAAAAGGAGCAGCTAGCACTATGGTTAACATAATACTTCAGTTGGACATTTACAACTGAGATAATTTAGGAAAAGGGAATAAAATAAAAAATTAGAGAAAGCAAATTTTCATTCATAGATAGGCTCTAAATACAATGCAAAAGGACGACAATCTGGAATTCTCTAACAAACCTACTCATCAGTTGACACATGTCCCTTCTCTAGAACCATCTAGTAGCTGGACTTAATTAAATAACAAAAATAGCTAAGCTAATGCTAAGAACACGGGTCACTACTACTTGGGCTGAAAACACAAAGAAAGTCCATTGCAATATGTTCCCAGGGTATAGGCAGAGGTTGTAAAAGACCCTGGTATGCCACACTTTCCCCTTTGTTGCGTTGACAACTTCACATTCTCTGATTTGGTCTTTCACGTCTTGTAATAAAGTCGGCCAATAAAACACTGCTCGTAGTCTCTGTTGAGTTGCATGAATCCCTGTATGACCTCCCCATGGAGTAAAATGCATTTCTGTTATTAATCTTTGTCTGAGGAAACCATTGGTTCCCACCTAAATTTTTCCATCATGTCTCAGAATACCATATTGTAACTGAGTACCAGGGACTACTGCTGGATCCAAACTTAATTGCATAATCAAGTTTTGGGCTATAGCATCATCTTGGTAGCTGTTCGTCACCTCTTCAGTCCACTTGGGCTGGACAATGGTCAGCCCACAACAATTACCTTCCTCAAATTTTCTGGACAAAGCATCCGCAACTATATTTTCCACCCCTTGCGGTATTGGATTTCATAATCCAAGCCTAATAACTTAGTAATTCTTTTATGTTGTAGTGTAGTAGTAATCCTCTGCTCTTTAAGGGATTTGAGGCTAAAATAATCTGTTTTTATCACAAAATGACTGGGTTGCAAGTAATGTTTCCACTTTTCAACTGCATGTAATAGGGCCACCAATTCTTTTTCATATGTAGACAAGCCCAAATACTTAGGACTCAAAGTCTGACTAATGAATGTGATTGGCCTCCCATTTTGCATTAAAACGGCTCCAACATCCTTGCCACTAGCATGTACTTCGACGACGAAGGGTATTGTGAAGTTAGGCAATGCTAAGACGGGAGCTTGGACCATGGCCTGCTTTAAATCTTCAAATGCTTGTGTAGCCTCCATGGTCCAACAAAAATTTTCTTTCTTAAGCAAATTAGTCAAAGGTTTACTTATGATAGCGAAATTTTTGATGAACCGCCTATAGTAACCGGTGAGGCCTAGAAATACTCTCAGCTCTTTCACTGATTTGGGTTGAGCCCAGTTCACCATGGCTTCAATTTTTGCCTCATCAGTGCTTACTCTTTCATGTGAAATGATATGGCCCAAATATTCTACTTTGTTCTGCCCAAAACTACATTTGGATCACTTAACAAACAATTGATTAGCCCTCAACAGGTCGAATACCAACTGCAAATGACTCACATGATCACCTAAAGAAGTGCTATAAATTAGTATATCGTCGAAGAAGACTAGAATAAACTGACGTAGAAATGGGCCAAAAAATTGGTCCATCAAGGCCTAGAATGTAGCTGGGGAATTGGTTAGCCCAAAAGGCATGACCTTGAACTCCCAAAGCCCGTGGTGTGTTCTAAACATAGTTTTAAACTCATCTCCCTTCCTCATGCGAATTTGATGGTATCCCGACCATAAATCAAGTTTAGAATAAAATTTTGCCCCATGGAGTTCATCTAATAAATCTTCCACTACTGGAAGTGGGTACTTATTTTTCACCGTAATATCATTTAGCTTTCTGTATTCCATACACATTTTTCAAGATGAGTCTTTTTTCTTGACCAAAAGCACAGGAGAGGCAAAAAGGGGAAAGACGCTTAGTGACAGTTTGCTCCTTTAGCATCTATGCAATCATATCTTCTATGGCATTCTTTTGTTCAAAAGAATAACAATAGGGTCTTAAGTTGATGGGCTTTGCTCCTGGTAACAGTTCAATAGCATGGTCACATTCTCTGACCGGAGGCAGCCCTTTGGGCTCTTGAAAAACGTCTTCAAATTGGCCCAATAATCTCCCTTGGAATTTCCTCAGCCTTCTCTATTGGCCCAATTAAAGACAATTGGGCCATGAAATTGCATTGACATTTTCTTAACAACTTGGAGATTACCTTGACGTTAACATTAGTCACATTTTCGCTATATGTCACTCCAAACAATGTCACTACCTCAGTACCATATCTGAAGGAAATAATAGAAGGTCTGCTATGAATGACAATCGGTGTTACTGAGTCAATCCAAACCATTCCTAGTACAATATCACACCCACCCACTTTAAATAGCCTCAATTCAAAATTGAACTCCAACTTGTGCATTTGCCACTTGAATGCCTTGCAAGTTTGTGTAGCTCTTCCATATTGACCATTCGCTACTCGAATTTTCATGGGTCGAATCAGTTCTTCTATCTTTGTAGAGGTCGCTTTTGCTACTTGTGGGTCCATAAACTGTGGATGGATCCACAATCGATTAATACCATTATCTTTACTCCTTTGACCCACCTAACAATTCTGACTATTTTTTGGGGCTTTATTATGGACCAACATAGCTGCAAGACTCACCTTTCCTTAGTCTTGGTCTTGGGCCTCAACTTCTACTACCTCAGGCTGCTCCTCACTATTTTCAACAACATCAACAAATTCTTTAGCTTCCATAGCATTAAGGGCCTTATTCTTGCATTGATGGCCAGGATGATATTTGGCATAACATTTGTAACACAGATTCCTCTCCCTCAACTATTCTAGAGCCATTCCTGGGTTAAGGTTTCTTGTGTTCACAATGATTGGAGCATTTCCAGGGTACGTAATGGGAGGGGCAATTTTGGCTGGATATTGGGCTGGTTTTTGAAAGGTTTTGGTGGTGGTGGCTAATTGCTTGGAAAGTGCATTGAAGGATTTTTCATGTAACTTGGCTTTTCTACATGCGTCCATCAGCGTCCTTGGTTGAGCATCTTGGACTAAGGGTTGAATATCGGATCTCAATCCACCGACAAAACATAACACATAATATGCTTCATGGACGTAAGGGTTTATTAAAACTAATAGACACCTTAGCTCCTCAAAACGCCTTTTATAAGTTTCAACATTTGAAGTTTGCACCAATCGATAAACTCAGCAACAATATCCATATGCATATTATTACCAAATCTTTGACATATATCAAATCAAAACTCGGCCCATGTTACCTTACCACCATGGTCCATCACATAACTGTCGAACCAATTATCTACGTAATCACGCAAATAAATGGCCACGTATGTCATCTTTTATTCATCGGTAACTTGATAAAAATCGAAAAATTTATCATAATGTCGAAGCCAACTCCTCGTATTTAACTCATCAAACTCGGGGAATGATAACTTGGCTTTTGGAGCTTAGACACAAAGCCACTTGACTTTGGCCCAACTTGGTTTGGAGGGGCCCAACTAGTATTATTGGGTTGAAACAATCCAAAAGGAACAAGGGAAGTTGGTGCAGGGCTAATGGGGATATGAGGGGATGAGAATAAGAACTTGAGTAAAAAAAAATAATGGTACTAGTCACATGGTGCGCTGATGAGAATGATAGGTTTTATGTGTAATAGGGTTGTGTTGACATGGGATATGGACTGGATATCGGAAGAAAAAGCTGGGTGGTTGTAGGATATGAGCTGGTTGCTGGAATAAATGGTTGAGTGGACAGGGGATAGGAGTTATTTGTGGGTCGAAAAGCAGTGGCAGCAAGGTTAAGAGTTTGGTTTCCAGCTTCCGACAACGACATCGAAAGAGCTGGTAATTGCTTAGAACGGAGCGGGGTTATCACTTTGGCCCCTAGTTGACTCAAAGAGACTTGGGGTAAAGGAGAAAGGTTGGTATTACGTAGATTACTTCCCACTAATGGCTGAGCTCCCTCCACAAATACCACCATCATGTGACCTTGCTGACGATGATGGTTCCAAGCTTTGATTACTTATTTTGATCGATATATCCTCGATTCTCCTCGTCGTGTCAGTCATCTCTACTATTTTTGATTCGAAACCAGTTTGTTTCTCTTCGAATTTATCCATCCGTTTACCTGATTCTTCTATAAACTATTAAAGCTGAGCTTCAACCATCCGAAGCCCATCGTCTCCGGTGAGACTTCGTTGTTTATCTACCATCAGTCCGTTGCCAGTGACGGACGCTCTGATACCAAAATTGTAGCAGTTTTATTGATATTGAGATAATTTAGGAAAATAAAATAAAATAAAAAATTAAAGAAAGCAAATTTTCAGTCATAGATAGGCTCTGAATACAATGCAAAAGGACTAATATAGAGCTAAAAGGACGACAATCTGGAATTCCTAACAAACCTACTCATCATTTGACACCTGTCCTGTCACGACCCATTTTCTGAACAAGCCGAGACCGGCACTCGATCACTAAACATGACCGAGCGAACCATCTCTGCTTATAAACCCTATTATAACTCCAAACTTTATAAGCAACAAAGCAATACTCTAAACAAATACTTTTGATTAATTCAAATATTTAAATAAATCAACTCCAAAGCTTTATTCGTAGTAACTATTGAATTACTGCTAAGTTATTATAAAATAACATCTGAATCTCAACCCAATGACTATGTCCATGAAGCCTCTACTGATAAACTGACGCACTGCTCAGGACATGAGATTTCCTAGCTAGTTCTCTAAATAAACAAAGAAATAGCTAAATGAAGATGACTCTAAGAATACTCCACGAACAAAAGCGAAGCTCACCAATATCACTGGAAGAGAAGGAAGTCCTAACTCGTAGCCTGCTCGCCTACAAATTCGGTTCCTACGTTGTGCCGCAGACCAACGTAGGTTCCCAAAAGAGAGCGTCAGTACCATCCATTGTACTCAGTGAGTCTCAAGAACACGGGAAGAAACTTTAATATCATATACATTACGAGCAAAGGTTCTGAATGCATGTAAGACATAAAGCTTATAAGAATAATTCTAAAATAATTGCATAATAGCAATTTACGAATACTCTAGAAGAAATTCTTTTCTTTTTCTTTCTTTAAAAAAAAATACTTCACTTTATACTTTGGGAGTTCCAACTATCCTGACTTAATTCTGTCTCAGTCACCGTGTGATCGGCACGGGTTCGATCCCAACCTGATCGAATAGGCCCAATCCACGAGGTGTCACTCGTTTCATGGTTCTCAGCGCTCATGTATCATACCTTAGCATGGCTAAGTAAATTCTCAGCAACGAGACCCTCGGCTCGTGTGCTCCCTACTTTGGAACAAGTAGTTTCAGGAAGTCAACGCCTTGGTCAGGACCCTCGGCCTGGACGATGACCCCTTCTCAGAATAAAGGATACTCCCCAAAAATCTTTTCTTTCTAAAACTTCTTCTTGTGACTTTTCAAGTCTAAATCTTTTCTTTATAGAACATAATGTACATGCTCATATTGGTGTCCTTAAATGTAAAGCATGGCATAAGAATGAAATAAACATATAAAAATATTTCTAAAGATTCTTTCTTCTTCATAATTTTCAACATGAAAACAGCATGTAAGAATAACACAACAATCTGAAAATTTTAAGCACATATAGCATAATAGATCATCTAAACTTTTGCTAGAACAATTCTAAATTAATGGGTACTCACTCGTTCTAATTAAATAAAGATAAACTCTTTTAAGCAATTTATCAAACACCTTGTATGCGTGCTTTTGTGAGTTAAACCACTTTAGTAAAAGATTATATCAACTTACCTCAAAACTTCTCGAGCCAATACGTAACCCCAGTTCAATTGACACCAGTCAAACAATCGATTCTAAAATAACCAGTACGTTTTAATCAATTTTTTTAAGGTACTACACTAAAATATGGAATTTATTGTTGATATAGAGGAAGAAGGGAATTAACTATTCTATTCTTATCTATTACTATTGTAGAGTAATTGACAACAGAGGATTTTACATACCTGAGTTCAAGAATTAGTGATTTGTAAGAAATCCTAGATTTTTCCGTTGCCTGTGTGATAAATGGAGCCTCTGTTTCGTGAGGAACGATTCTTTTCTTTTTTTTAGCTTTTGCTTTCCGTCCTTTTTGATAACGTTCTGCCTCTCTTTTAAGGCTTGGGGGCTATTGTTTCAAACAGCCCTCTTTATGGGCTTTTAAGCCTTTTTCCATTTTTTTTAAATTACTACTAACTAATGATACCTTTTTTTTTGAAAATTAATAATATTAAAACAACTGATATTTTCCTAATTGTATATCCAGTTATATATAGGCAAGATAAAATAATAAAAATAGTAATAAATTAGTTCTATAGTTAGCGTGTCTCGAAACTTTTATAAATTTGGGGAGTGTTACAATCTTCCCTCCTTAAAAACATTCGTCCTCGAATGTTGCTAAGGCCTTATTCTTAAGCTAACAATCATTCTTTAGGTCCTTGAACCTCTTAAATTTTCTTAGCACTACCCACTCTCCCAAGGGACTCAAAAATTTGGCTAACTCCCTAAATTTTCAAAAATTTCGGCAGAGTTTCTCTTGTAAATTGGTCTATCCAAAAAAATTATCCTTGTCACAAATACCACAACTACATCAACAACAACCAATAATGCCATAACAGGCCATTCATAGGCACCATACGCAGCTCATAAATTAATAACTCACACTCCGGCAAGGAGGTACTACAATAACTAACAAGAATCTAAAGCACAACAACTTTAGCACAAGTAAATCACTTTAATGAATTAAATATACTACAGCATAAACTAAATTACTACAACAGCTAAGTATAATCTTGGAAGGACAGAAACATTTGCTAACTTGTATTTAATAAATGAAATATAAATGTCAAACCAAACTTAGGTTCACATACCTTTTTCCTCAAATAAATATGGATATTTCTTTCTCATATCTTTCTCGACCTCCCATGTAGCCTCTTTTGAATCATGATTACTCCACAAAACTTTTACCGATGCTAAATCTTTTGTTCTCAACTTTCTTACTTGCCTATCGAGAATTTCTATAGGTACCTCTTCATAAGTCAAGCCTTCTTTAATTTCTATAGTATCAGCAGGTATTATATGTGACTCATCATGAATGTACTTTCTAAGCATAGACACATGAAAGACAGGATGAACAGAGGACAACTCAACGGGTAGCGCTAGCTTATAAGCCACGTTTCCTTTCTTTTCTAGAATTTCATAAGGTCCGATAAATCTAGGGCTAAGTTTCCCTTTCTTACCAAACCTCATAACTCCTTTCATTGGTGAAACTTTCAAAAACACCTTATCACCAACCATGAACTCTAACTCACGATGCCTCTTGTCAGAATAAGACTTTTGACGACTCTAAGCCGCTTTAAGTCTTTCTCTAATTAGCTGAACTTTCTCCAAGGCCTCACAAACAAACTCTGGACCAATCAACGACAACTCTGCTGGTTCATTGGAGACCTACATCTCCGCCCATACAATGCTTCATAAGGAGCCATATTAATGCTGGCTTGATAGCTGTTATTGTAAGCAAATTCTATAAGTGGCAAGTGATCATCCCAATTACCTCCAAAATCTATAACACATGCACGCAGCATATCTTCGAGAGTCTGAATGGTCCTTTCTTCCTGGCCATCGGTCTGTGGATGGAAAGCAGTGCTTAAGTTGACCTTGGTACCTAATCTTTTCTGAAATGCCTGCCAAAAATTTGTTGTGAACTGAGGGCCTCTGTCAGATATGATTGAAACTGGAGTACCATGCAATCGGACTATTTCTTTTATGTACAACCGCGCATACTGCTCTGCGGAGTCTGTCGTCTTTACTGGTAGGAAATGCGCGGACTTTGTCAGTCGGTCTACAATAACCCAAATTGAATCATGTTTACGGTATGTGCGAGGTAGACCTACTACGAAATCCATATTAATCATCTCCCACTTCCACTGTGGTATCTCTATATCTTGAGCTAGGCCACCAGGCCTCTGATGCTCGGCTTTGACTTGCTGGCAATTTAAACATTTAGCCACATATTCTGCTACTTGTTTCTTCATGCCTTTCCACCAATACAACTCTTTCAAATCTAGATACATTTTGGTAGCACCTGGGTGGATAGAGTACCTCGAACTGTGAGTTTCCTCCATTATGGCCTTCCTAAGACCATCTACATCAGGCACACATAACCGATCATTCAACTTCAAAACTCAGTCACTTCCTAAAGTGAAAGCAGTGATTTCTTTGCTTCTGACTCCTTCTTTTAATTTCACTAAGTACGGATCTTCGTCTTGCTTAGCCTTAACATGCGTAACAAGGGAGGATTGCACTAAGGCATAAGCAGTTATATCTCCTTCTTCGGTCTCATCCAATCTAATTCTATCATTTGCTAGTTTTTTGAATTTCTCGACCCAAAGATCGCCTTTGTACTGCAAGATGGGCCAAGACACCCATTGACTTTCTACTAAGTGCATCTGCTACCACATTAGCTTTGCCCGGGTGATAGAAGATATTGATGTCATAATCTTTCAATAGCTCGAGCCACCTTCTCTGTCTCAAATTTAGTTCTTT